GCCAGCAAGATAGCTCAACAGAACAAAGCACCTGCTTGAGCAAATTCAGGCAAGCGCAGGTACTGAGGTTCGATTCTCGGCACCACATGCTGTGCCAGCCCTGCCCCCAGGATGGGCTGAGTTGGCCAGAATCTGTGTATAATGGCGCACACTTGTAATCCCAGTGCTGGCAAGGCTGAGAGCAGGAGGATCACCACAAGTATGACCTGCATAGTAAGACCCTGCAACAACCAAATACATAAAAAGAAAAAAAAAACATAAAGCATATTTAACTTCATTTCACCAGTCTATTGTGTGACACCTTCACTAATGTGAAAAAGCACACCCTTCTCCATTATCTCACGTAGGTACCACTGAGCCATCTCTCCAGCCCCCCCCCGTTTTTTTTTTAATTTTTTTTTACATTTTATTTTTTATTTATTTATTTGTGTGTGTGTGTGTGTGTGTGTGTGTGTGTGTGGCCAGCTCAGCCTACCAGGGGGGTGGGGCTGGCTGGCATGTGGTGCTGGGGGATTGAACCGCGGTCCTTGTGCTTTGTTTAGCTTAACTTGTTCTAAGTAGGTGCTTTAGACCACTGAGCCATCTCACCAGCCCACCATGCCCAATCTCAATCTCACCATCTCAGTGCTCCGTGGAGGGGGGGGGCAGCACAGCAGGTCCAGGGATTGAACCCCCAGCCCCTGTGCCTGCTTACAGGTGCTTTAACCTGCTGAGCTATTTGGCCAGCCCCTCCCTTCGGCTTTATTTTTTATTTATTTATTTTTTTTCCTTGGGCTTTAGATAGTACTTAGTGACAGATATTTATCAAGCATCTAATATGCACTGACCACTGAGCTAGATTGGGTGGGAGTAGACAAGAACAACTTAGTCTAGGCCTTCACAGAGTCCACAACTAGCAGAGAAGAGAAGACAGACAGCTTACACAGGGGAAGCCTAGGGTCCCTAGGAACAATCAAGTGGGAAACCTAGAGAGAATGGGAGAAATGAGACCAGTATTGGAGGAGCCTTTCAGTTCCCTCATGTGCCACTTTCACATGTGATATGTATATTAATGTGGTACACTATATGCCTGTAAGCCCTACATATAGCTGAATGTCCCATTAGACATTTTGTTGTCCTCAATTTTTGGGTGATGCCAAGGTCTAGAAAGAATGAAAAAAAAAAAAAACAGGGGGCTGGGGAGATGGCTCAGTAGGATAAGCTCTTGACTGGCAAATGCAAGGATCTGAGTTCAATCCCCAGTTCCACAAAAAAAAAGAAAAAAGAAAAGAAAGAAAGAATGGACAGGCTGGGGAGATAGCTTAGTGACATAAGCACCTGCTTGGCAAGCACAAGATCCTGAGTTCGATCCCTGGTACCAAAAAATAGAAAAGAATGGACCCCTTGGAGGGCATGAGAAACAGTGCTTGACAAAAATTCTGCTTCCCAAGTTGGTCCAGGTTCTGCATCCGTCTAAGTGGGAACCCATCACATAGAAGGCATGCTGAGAAGGAGGGACCATCCAGGGGTATAATTATTCCCACATGAAGTGCAAAACTATTCTTTGAACTCAGGCCAGAATACTGTATTCTGGAGCTTGTAGACTCCAGCGGACCCCCTCCTGAATGCCTAGGTGAAGCAGCAGAAAAGGTGATAGGGAAAATTCTGGATGGCTCCTCTCACTCTCCTTCCAGATAGTGCTCTGCCTACCTCTGAATTGTCAGGACTCACCCTGTGTGCAATGCTCACCGTCCCTGGGTCATGGTCACCTCACTGTTCAAGTTGCCTGAGTCCTGGAGGACTCAGGGTTGTGGAAGGAGCTCAGAAATACCTTCAAGGAGGATAGAGGGAATCTTGTGACAGTGGCCTGCATTTCTGTTTCTGTGCCTCTTCCCCAACTCTGTAAGCACCTCCGGTCTTCTGTCTCCTCTGTGTCTTCTTTCCTGGCTTTCTCTCCTCACCCCTGGTCATTTAATCAACACCTCTCCCTTCCTGCCATCCGTCTGTTACTGCTGTTTTTCCTCAGATTCTCAATACAACTGTCCAAAATCCCCTCCCACTATCTCCCTCGGCTAATTCCACACGCCACCTGCCTGCTGCCTGGGAATCTTACAGCAAGGTGGATCTCTAGAGCCCACAAGAGGATTTGGAAAGAATCCTTGAAGCGGAGCTTGAAGACTGTGAGGACAGTAAGAACCAAATGACTCTCTGAAGAAAAAAAGAATAATAATAGTAAGACTAAGGAGTGAGGGCTGGTGAGATGGCTCAGTGGTCTAAAGCACCTACTTAGAACAAGCTAAGCTAAGCAAAGCAAAGCACAGGGACCATGGTTCAATCCCCCA